AAGACTAAACTAAAATGTGTCGAAACAAAATGTGAGTTCCTTTCACTTTTTGCTCGACGAAGAAATTATAAAATATATAGTAGTAACAAAAAAAAAAGTGACGAACCAAAAGAAAACCTACGTACTTATTTCAAGAAAAATGAACCTTCTTCGCTTTTTATTTTCACGACGCGTACCTTGAGAAAGAGAAGATAAAAAGTAAGTACACAGGCACTGAAATATATATAGGAGGAAACAAAATAATGAGTTCCTTTCACTATCTTGTTTCGAAGTAGGAATATAAAATTATAAAAGACTAAACTAAAATGTGTCGAAACAAAATGTGAGTTCCTTTCACTTTTTGCTCGACGAAGAAATTATAAAATATACAGTATAGTAGTAAAATAACAAAATGAATCAAAGGAACCAAAAGAAACATATGTACCTATTTCGAAGGTTAAGTTTGAAAAAAAAGGTAAAGAAAGGGTATATATTAGAAAACAGGTCATGGCTTTGACGCGTCATATAACTTTGGCGTAATGTGAAAACTTTTTCTTTGCGTGTAAAATTTCCAGATTAGGCATTCATGGTCATGACGACAAAAAATTTTTTTAGTCATCGACAATACAGCAATATATAAACTGCCAGGATATTTTAGCATACATCGGATTTACCATTTTGGTTTGTGCACGTGTGCCCGAATGATAAAAATACAATCACTTGCTTGAGTCACGAGTAATATTGAACCAGCAAAGTGCATAGTGCTAAATCGATCAAGTTTTCTGAAGGATATTGTAGTAATCTTAAGTTCAGAGTGACCAGCTAATAAAATAATGTTAATATCACGACAATCACATAACTGCGACGAACCTATTAGTTCGTTACAGCCGAGTTTCTGTTCGATACGAGGGGAAAATCAAATAAATCGGCAAACAATAATTTAAAGTCCTGTACGTAAATGGTTCGTCAGATTGTGTGAAATATGAAGGATACACTAGGAAAGCACTGCTTAACGTCTTAGACTCGGAGTATTTTATTTTGAAAGATGTACTAACGATATTGCTTATCAAATGGTCACGTAACATTTATTGGACTGTATAGGTCTATGTAAATTATCAGCTAAGATTCCTAAATCTTACACAGATATACATAAGTATGTACGTACGTCGTACGTACGTAACGTACTGTTATACAGATATAGATATACGTACGCATGCCTCGTATGTACAATAAATCAAAAGTTCATCCTCTCCTGCCAATTAACAATTAAATAATAATGCGGGCAACTTTCACCGTTAAACATCAGTCAAAATCAATCCCGTCTAAAAAATCTAAATTACGAACTCAAAAAAATCTTGTTTTATTTCGCACTACATTTTATCAAATATTATGTAATCATAATCCAAACATAATTGCTTCGGATAATGACTTTGTAGAATATCTAGCTGAGCAAGTTTGGGATCTGGATATCTTATCACTAATTCTTGCAGATACTACCATTGAAACAACTAAATCTGACAAATCTTTATCAGAAAAAGAAATTGTTGAAAAAGTTTGTGAGGTCGTAAATGATGATTTTTTAACATTTGAAGTTTGTCAAAATAAACAAGAATGTTTAGAAATTTGTCAGTCCTTAGTGACTAGATTGAAATCTATTTTCAATCCTACATCTGTTGTTACACTGTCCTCGCAACAAGAGGATGACGAAGATGACGAGGAGGAGGAGGAGGAGGAGGAAGAAGAAGAAGAATCTGAACCTGGAACATGTGAACTATGCCATAGGCGTATGCCACTTACATTTCATCATTTGATTCCTCGTAAGGTGCATAAAAAAGTAATAAAAAAAGGTCTATTTACTAAAGAAGAATGTTTGACAAGGGGTACAAATATTTGTAGACCTTGTCACAGTGCTTGTCATAAAATGATTTCTCACGAACAAATGGCCTATGAATACAATACTGCGGAGAAATTATTAGAACATGAAGGCGTAATAAAATTTGTTACATGGGCATCGAAACAAAAAGAGTATGCGGAGGGTCACGTAATTAGAGGAATGAAATATCCGAAATAAGTTATTTATTTCCATTGCATACGTATTATTACAGTAGTTTTAGTAACAGGTAACCTATCATGCTAGAATTAAATATACTACCATAATCGCATCTAATAAATGTCTTTATCTATCATACATGTATACTTATTTAAATTTTTATAAAAGAATGAATAAATTATAATTCACCCGCATCATCAACAATTAATTCATCTTTAACTCTTCGACAACATTCTTCAACCTCCCAATTCCAATCAGTCGTCGATACAGCCAAAAATATTCCAATAGCCATGCTTATAGAAGCACAAGTAACACCTGTCCAAAGTCCTTTTAAACCCATATTAAATTTAAATGCAAACATAAGACCCAAAGGTAAACCAATTAAATAAAAGGCTGGAAGAAATATTGCAGCAACCATTTTTAATCGTCCTTGCCCTCGGAGAACACCACTTCCTATGTTACCAACACTATCAGAAAGCTATATTCGTATATAGAATTAATTAGCTATGATTAAATTTTATATTGCCCATGATGATTATGATAAGTAAATGTACCTGAAATATAGCTGCTAATGGTAGAATTGATGCTACCATTTTTACAACATCATCGTCATGTGTGAAAAAATATCTAAATAAATATTATAAAATGAACAAAAAATATAATTAATATTAGATATTCTTTTTATACAACCTTCATATTTTTTATTTTTTTTTGTTTAAAAGTCGGTTTACCCTATAGAATCCTTAAAGCAAAGTAATATCATTGCATTGCATGTAGCACCGACGACAGCAAGCAATAGTGACGTGTTTGTAGTTATTATTGCTCTGTTTGGTAGACCAGCGCCTAATAAATTACCAACTCTATTTGATGCAGCTACTGCCAAACTATGTGGTATCTGAAATAATAACAGCGTACTCGTAAGAATTAATCGATGACTTGCTAAAGATACACTTCCAAAATAACCCGCACATAATGCGATCAATTCATAAATCCACCAATCTGCGCATGATGTTAACATTCCTGGTAATGCAAGTCTCGTGAATGATGACCAATCTTTGAAACTTAAATGTGACCATCCTCCCCAAGCATCATATCCATCAATGTATTTTATATAAAGGAATGTAAGTAATAACATTAACCAATGTATTATTGTAGTGGCAATTGGCGCACCGATGTAACCAAGAGATAATGGCCCCCAAATGAGAACATAGTTAAGGAAAATATTTATTGGACAACACATTGCAAGAACATATGTTGTTGCCTTCATGATACCTAATAATAAAAGGAAATTAAGTTACAAAATATAAACTTATGAATTATTCAGAAAAAAAAAATTGTTTTCTTTTGTTTACCTTGACCTTGCAAGAATTTTTCCAAACACCAAAAAATAAGGCCTGGTGGCGCTCCCAAAAGTAAATAACGTAGATATAACGCAGCATAGTGCGATAATTCTGCATCTTGCCCCAGATAAATCAAAATTTGTTCAGATAATAGCCAAATAATTCCTATAGGTATGAATCCAATCATCATTACGATGATAGCTCGTTGCGTGTAAATACCAGCCATTTTCGGGTTTCCCGACGTATAGCCTTGTGGACAAAGTGTATCCAATGCCGCCGTTGCGCCAAATCCCAATGACCAACAAGTAATCGCAGCATACTAATAAATTATTAATATTAACTATAAATAACTGATATTATCACTGTAAATTATTATCGTTATATCAAATATTACTTTTATTTACCATAGTTCCTAAAGCGAGACCAGCTAGTTCAGCTTGTCCCTTTTGCAGTTTTAGGGCAAGGTTGCATATAATTAATATGATAATATTTGATTTTTTTTTTTTTAATCATTATTATTAAATCTTACCAAATGTCCTATAAAGAATACATTGGTAACTTGTAGAACTTGTAGAAGCAAAAACGCAAAAAGGGCTGGAACTGCTTTTTTAAGAAGATAAATTGCTTCTCGAGCGCTAAAAGTTTTTATTTCAATTACATCATTTAATCGAATACCAAGGTTAGTGTTATTTGTTTCTGAAATTAATGGTGATCTTTCATCAATTTTCACACGTTGATCAAATCCGTTAGGTTCTCTCTGAATGCTTTGCGAAGATGAAGACATTCTTTATGTACTATTAAAATTCGCTTTTTTTTTTTCAGAGATCACCAAGATTCGGATTTTATTAAATATTGGTTTTCTGGATTAATGTATAGACATGAGAAATAATGCTGTATGGCGGTGATAAGGATAAATATAAAAGGGAGTAGCTGCGGGCTTTAAGGAGTAATAAAAAAAGTCATTCGTAAACATATATAAGTTGATTGCCAATTATTTGGCCATGTGCTTTGTATCATGCTTGTATATGTTACCCAAATCAGGTTCATTTAACGTTAAATGGTAATGTTGACCATATTTAATTTTTTCTTTTTTTAGTTAATAGTACGCATATCGTTAATCATCTTTGTTGATTTCAAAGGTAAATGCATATCGATAGATAATATTAGTTTTATTTTTTTTTTTTTTACCCACTCTATGATATCTTATAAACTAATTTTTAATTTTTAGTGCATATTAGGGGGCATCCATAATTTACGCAGAAATAGAGACCTTGAAGATAATACCATAGCATTATTATCGTTATTGTATTATCTAAGATCTCAATACTGGTTTAACGTAAATCATGGGTGCCTCCTTAAACCTAATATGCAACTTGTATGTTTTATATAAAATTGTAACGGCTCTCCATACTTGCGTTTTACCCGGAAAGTGAAAATAAGGGCCCAAATTAAAAAAAATATAATTGCATATAAGGGCCTACTTTTTAAAAAATATTACATACGTATAAGGGCCCAAATCTATCGATGAACTATATAACGATAGCAAAATCGCGATTATAGGATTATCGATTGTTTTATTATAGACATTTAGAGTTATCTATATATATACTGATTATTAGATAAAAGGATAAATTAAGTGCTAGTTATAATCATTTTCGCTTAAAAATTGCATAGAAATAGCGTTAACTAGCACAATTATTCATAAGGCGAAGTTTCAACAGAGTAACTCTCTAACTGAACGAACATCCTCCATATTAGTAAATGCCATGTCAATTCGCAATGTTTTACTTGACATCATAGTGGTTTGTTATAACAATAAGCAATTTCATACAAAAAAATTTAAATTTATTAAATTTAATTCTCATTTATAATTACTAATTTACAATCGATCGTTACACTTTTTATGCGATGCTTACGTTTCTTATACTAATAACGATCAAGCCAATAGCGTCACGATTATTTTAGACCCTTATATGTAATATTTCTTAAAAATTAGGTTCTTGTATGTAATTATTTTTAGGTTGGGCCCGTATTTGTAATTATTTTCACTTTCCGGGCCCTTATCTGCAAATTCCCTATTATTAAATATATAAGATGCTTAAAATAAATAAAATTAAAGTTTAAATTTTAAAAACAATAGATTTATATTTAGAATTTTTTATTTATTATATTTATTTTTATATATATACTATACTTGCTCTAATCTAAATTAATCTAATATACAGTACTGTATAATAATCTTGATTCTTAAAAAAAAAAAAAAAAGCAAATACTGTAAATACTTATTTACTTATATATTATAACTTTAAAATTATTTCATTTGTATTAATCATACTATTTAGTTTATAAAAATAAGAATTATTATCAATTATAAAACTAAAAATTAGCAAAAAATAAATACTTACTATATTTACTATTTTATATTTGTATTAATTATTTGGTTAATACAGTATTTAGTATAGGTAAAAAATATAAATTATTATTATATAGTATATTTTCTTAAATCTAAGACATATAGTAAATATATAGCTTTTATATTAGTTTTAAAAGATTATCAAATTTAAAATACTAATAGCCTGCTATTATATAATTACAAATAAATAAATATAATTAGCTAAATAATATTTTTTATTTATATAATTTGTTAGAATTTTGCTATTTACCACCACTGGTGATCATCACCGGTGTTGCTATATCTCAAAAATGTACTAAGTAAACAGG